CGGGCGCGGGATGTGCGAGGCGCCGCCGCCGGAGGGCGCGTCCTCGGCGTCCTCGTCGCTCACGAAGCCGCCGCCGAGCCCCGAGTCGCGCAGGGCGGGCGTGCCGGCCGGCCCGCCGAACAGCCGGATGGTCTGGCCGCCGATGGAGATGGGCGCCGAAGGCGTCGCCGGACGGCTCACCTGCGCGATGTTAGCAAACATCGATGATCAAAATTCAAACTTCGATGTTCAAAATTAAAACATCGATGATCAAAATTCAAACGTCGATGTTCAAAATTCAAACTTGGATGTTCAAAATTCAAACATCGATTATCAAAATTCAAACGTCGATGTTCAAAATTCAAACTTGGATGTTCAAAATTCAAACATCTATGATCAAAATTCAAACGTCGATGTTCAAAATTCAATCATCGATATTCAAAATTCAAACATTAATGTTTAAAACTCAAACACCGATGTTCAAAATTCAAACATCGATGTTCAAAATTCAAACTTGGATGTTCAAAATTAAAACATCGATGATCAAAATTCAAACACCGATGTTCAAAATTCAAACTTGGATGTTCAAAATTCAAACTTGGTTGTTCAAAATTCAAACATCGATGTTCAAAATTAAAACATCGATATTGAAAATTCAAACATTAATGTTCAAAATTAAAACATCGATGTTGAATTAAATTGAATTGATTTTACCTTATTTTACGTGGCGAGAATCGGGCCATTCCGTCTGACCACGCAAATTTCAAATGTTCAAAACGCATCACCAATAACCAATCGATGTTTTCCAACATCGATGTTTTTAGACTGGACTAGTAACCTCTAACATTAAATTCATGTGTTCCAAAGTTCATTTTATGAACATATCAGATTTTGATGATATTGAATGCGCCAATATATCGATGTTTAGGATTAAGTTTGAGGGTTAACTCCCTCTCTCCCAGAATGTCTGAATTGTATCCAATGTGAATAGTTGAGAAATTTAAGTCCATCTCGACGGAAAATGAAGTACCAATCACATTGGCGAAAGTGGCTATCACTTTCACTCGCATCATGACGTGCTTGGAAGGGGGAGGATCGCAAAAAAAGTAAGTAAGTAAGTAAAATCCAAATAAATAAATAAATAAATAAATAAATAAATAAATAAATAAATAAATAAATAAATAAATAAATAAGTAAATTTAAAAAAAGCATAAACTCTCACCGCGACGGGCACTCTGCTGCGCAGCGGCGCGGTGCTCGACGGCGTCGGCGAAGGAGAGGGGGAGGGGGAGGCGACGCGGCGGCGGAGGGGCGCGTTCTCCAGCGCGTTGTCGCTCAGCTCGTCGCTGAGGTCGTCGTCGAGCAGGTCGTCGTCGCTGACGGAGTCGAAGGGGGCGCTGCGCGGCGCCGGCCCCGCCCCCGTACCTGGCCCCGGCCGCTGCGGCGACGCCTCGGCGTCGGGCCCCGCGCGCAGGTACTTGGCGATCAGCTCGTATGCCGTCACCTGCACGGATGGCAGAAGCAAGCACTCCAATATTACCATAATGCAGTATTATCAAAACTCATCAATGTTTTTCAAACATCGATAATATAATAATTTCCCAAAAAAAATATGTTTTTAAAACATCAATAATATAATATTATCAAAAGCATAGATGTTTTTCAACATCGATTATATCATATTATCAAAAATGATGTTTTTCAAACATCGATAATATCATATAATCAAAAAATGATGTTTTTCAAACATCGATAATATCATATTATCAAAAATGATGTTTTTCAAACATCGATAATATCATATTATCAAAAAATGATGTTTTTATACATCGATAATATAATATCAAAGAACATCCATGTTTTTAAAACATCGGTATTCTCGCGCAGAAACATTGATACTATAACATCGACGTTTTATTTACATCGGTATATTTGTCCACAAACATCGATGTTTACAATGCACTAAGGGCGTTATAAAGGCCCATTCACAATCCAAACATGAACATAAGCATACAAATCAAAAACGTAAACATTAACATAAGTGATAGACTGAAGTATTCACAATGTCGAACATAAACGTAAGCAAAATAAAAGTTTCATCTGGCTGTGAGACATTTTGGTTAACTATTGCCTGGATGTAAGAATGTATTTCGAGGTATCGACTGTGACCATGGCCCATATGGCATTAGTTCGTCTATCGACTTCGTTCCTATTTCGATTTTGAGTTACCGTACTGCGATTAGTTCATTTCTTATGCCTTAAGCCTGTTTTGCACAGGTATTTTTGCATCCTTTTTTCATCATTTTCCTGTACAGAAATTGGATGCAAAAAGGACGTACGTTTCTACGCAGTATGTTTCGGTGCCGAAACAGGACGAGAGTGATTTCAGCACTTTATCATCTCGGTCATTTCTGTCTTTGTACGTAACCATGAAGAAAATACTTCCTCCGGACGCCGCATATAGCTGAAGATAAAAAATTTGAACATCGCATCCGTGGTAACAAATAAAGTTAGGTTATATTAGGACCGAGCACGGATGCGACAAAATTAGAATACAGTACATAACGTATTTATCACTACATAACTACTTCACTTTACAATTCTACACATCAGAACGCTCTCGCGTAACTACAAAATGAACATATCTCTCCACGCGCACAACAAACCTGAGAAACACCCGTAAAGTGCCGCCAGGAACGCGGTAGTCAAACTGAATGAAATTATACCGAAAAATTAAGCTTGCGTAATTTTTTCGTACAAATTACATCCACGCTGGTCTGTATTTTTTCTGTACCGGCGAAAAATGATGAAGAAATGATCGTGTAAAACAGGCTTTACTTAAGCATCGATGTTTCTGTTTGAGAATACCGATGTTTTAAAAACATGGATGTTTGTTGACGATATTACATTACAGACGTATTTTAAACGTGTTTTGTATGTCTCGAGAGCGCGAGGAAAAGGTTACGCCCGGAGAAGGCACTCACCTCGCACTCGAGGATGCTCTTTCGCTTGGCGGCGGCGGCGGAGGCGGAGGCGGCGAGGGCCAGGGCGTCCCAGCGGTGTCCGCGCGCCGGGGAGGTGCTGCGCGCGCGCGAGCGCAGAGGCGCGGGGGCGGGGGCGGCGAGGGCGGCGTCGAGGGCGTCGAGGGCGTCGCAGGGCGCGGGGCCCAGGCGGCGGCGCCGCACGGCGTCGTAGGGGTCGGGCGTGACGGCCTTGCGCAGCGTGGGCGGCAGCGCCGGCCGCGAACGCACGGCGTGGGAGCGGTAGGTGCCGCTCGGCGCCAGCGCGCGCACCTGCGCACACGGAGGAGGGGTTGCGCTGCGGCTGCAATTCTAAACACTTCTAAACACTACGATTCAAATAAAGGATTGATTGACTGACTTGTTTTACCAATGATTGATCGATTGGTTGATTGATCGATTGACGATTGATCGACGATTCATCGATGATTGATCGACGATTGATCGACGATTCATCGATGATTGATCGACGATTCATCGATGATTGATTGATGATTGATCGACGATTGATCAATGAATGATCGATTGGTTGATTGATTAATGGTTCCGAACGCGTCAGCTTCCATAATATTTTTATAATATTATTTTTGTTACATGGTCTGTAGATTAATACACAACTGATTCCTCCTGTGTTGCCATTGAGTCGATTACAAGTTTCTCGAAAGTGGAATATGTGGCGTACCCTTTCAAGGAAAATTGTTTCATGGTGGAACATTTCTGATTTTATTTTTGCGATCAGCGTATGTGATTTAAAACAAAACCACGTACTTTAATCTCGCTGTAACAAAGTTAGAATTTCTTGCACTCTCTATTCACTAATCCCGTAGGTAGATTGCGTTTGTTGCCTCGGGAGGTGGCAGTGATTTTCCCCCGCTCGATGGTAAGAGCCACCAACTATCTACATGTCGGCTAGAAAGGTTTTCCTCAATCAGGTATCTCCCTCCATCAGGGCTTCGCCCCAGCTGGGAAAAGCTCTAAGCTCCCTACTGGTCACCCAACAAATGTGGAATTGTGTGTTTAAATAAGGGATGATGTTAGAACAAGAAAGAAGGAATGATCGTGCGCGGTCGGTGGCCCGTTCGATATGAATTGCTGCGGTATTCGTCTGGTGTTGATCGGAGAACCGACAGGAAACTACCTGTCACCTTCAGGACTCAAACCCTAAAACCTCGTCAGTGGCACTGCGATGACATCAATTCATGCGTTGGGCCAGTAAAAAATAACGTTAAAAATGGACTCTAAATAAAAATCATAAATAATTATGTTAGAAAGTTACCTGAAAATTTTCAAATCATTAATCTCGATAAAACCACATTTTATACAAATTCAAATCATCACTTTAAAAAAATTAATCAACCCAAACTCACTACATATTAGAGAAAACTTCGCATAAAATGAACTCCCCGCCTGCAAATGTCTTATCTCAGATAATGATAAGTATATACATAACATTTCAAAATCATCTCATAGGGGATCGTCGAAACACAATTTCATTCAAAGAATAAAAACGAGTGCGGCTATGAATGCAATCAAACACACAATGAACTTCATACCTACAATAAAGAAGGAACTTTTGGAGTAGCGTATTGTTATTATTCCAAGGGATCGTTCCATATTGTACGGGGTATGGTTTGCAGGTCATTGTGTCTTGTGTTCGCCTCGAGATCGCGTAGGCTTCTCCGGACAAAGCGTAGCGGTGCCGGTCCCATCGGGGCTGAGAACGCACGCGGACTCGTCCAGGTCGGGGTACCGTCGCCAGCCAAAACGGTTTCTCTTTAATTTGATAAACCTCGTGACCCTGTGCAGCGCATTCTCATACGTCGTGGGAAAGCGGTCTCCCCACGTAAGATACAGAAGTTACACAATCTTCACTCGAGTCGAAAGAATATGAAAATATTCAAGTTCAGTTAGAAATGACGTGAAATCAAGAAACATTCTAATAAGGATTAAATGACGACAGGTTTGCTGTGAAAATATTTTGTTAGAGGTAAAATAGACTGAAAATTATTCAATTTTTTTTTTAAAGTACATTTTGCAAATAAGTTGTTGTTCGATTAATTAACAGATTAAGGGACAGGAATGCAATATGGACCTCTCGGGAATAAAAATAAACCTTTCTAACAGGCAGCTCTTGGGGAAATAGAGAAGACGTAATGTCTGCAGATATGTTTATAACATTTCAACCCTCTGTAACCATTTTCAGAGCGAATGCTCCTGAAATAATTAACGATAATAATTATGACAATAATAATAAAAGTAATAGTATTATTATTAATATTACTATTACTTTTATTATTATTGTCATAATTATTATCATCATGGCCCTATACAGTGAAGTGATGTGAAGTGTAGTGTAGTGGGGGGGAAGGGAGTGTAGTGCAGTGTAGTGTAGTGTAGTGAAGTGTTATGTAAACTAGAAGTGAATTTAGAGTTAGCTAGAAATAAATTGGAACTATTATATCGACCCCCTAGTTCTAATAGTAAACCCAATTGTAAATGCTGAAAATGTTTAGTAATTCTAATTTTAATCGTTATCATGTTTGCCAACGAGCATTAGCTCAAGGCGAACTTTAATACATCTATCTATCTAAAATATTTAAAAAATGCCAAGAAAAAATATCTCCTTGACAGCCAAACTTTATTATCTCCAGCAGAACAATCCTTCATCAATGACGGTTCTATATTCTTTACACAAAGCTAAAAGTTAAATATTATTTTCCTTTTATTAGTGAAACAACTTTTCACGCCATAATATAATTTAAAACAATGACGGTTTCTTTCTGTCTTTCTAAGTAATGTAAGATTGGTGTTATCGATAAACATACGAATAAAACTGCCATTTTCGAAGGTCTTTTTGGTAAGGGAAACTTTTAAAAAACAGACTAAAAGTTAAATTATGATGGACAAATTTCCTTACTTTTCTCCCGAGTCGAAATTCCTGATGTATTCCTGTTCTCAATTATAACAATATTTGGCAAAAAATAATTCGTTTGCAGCGAGCAATACACTAACAGACGGTCCACGGACAGCGAGCGATCTTTCTTTCTCTTGATTATCTTACCCTCACCTCTTACATACACTACATTACCAGACAGGTAGGGAGACCAGTTGTAGTGCTAGAGCTTGTCACGGCTGGGGCGATGCCCAGGTGGAGATACCTGGATGGGGAAAACTCGCAACCCGATGTGTAGGTCGGCCTCGCATTTCCCCAATCAGCCAGTGCGGCTCATCGTCACCTCAATTGATAAAAACATGCACTAAACTTATATGACTAATGTCTTACACGTTAATGCGCCCGGAAACATTAATCAATCAATCAATCAATTACCGTTTGGCAAAAAAATGACCCAGTTATGTCCTAGACGTGTGTAACACTTACTTGGGATACCTGTAGTTTATAAGTGGAAAAGGTGCTACAGTACGATTAAAATAAGTTGTTAATTGACAGTTGTGAGTGGAAAGGCGATGTTGACATGTTACTTACCACTGACCACGTGTTCCCGAGACACTTTAAATAAACACTTTAAATGAATACTTACAAATGTAACTAAATCATATATTCGTATTGTATAAAGTCAGGCGACTCGTGCCGGCAGTAGATGTTTGCGCTCAACCGAAAAATATAGGCGAAGATACACCAATAGCTGTCAGGGTGAAGGAGATGGGGCTTCTTGAAGAGGATGTCTCCATGTTGTTAGTCAATCGTCTCCGGAGAGTTGCTGCGACTAATTACTCAACGCGCTCGACAGATAGCAAGTTAGTAGTTCTGACATTTCCGCCAGGTGTCTCTGAATCTTTCCTGCAGACTACAGAGTGTGCCCATATTATATAAGATGAGAATTGTATTTTAGTTTTCTTGAAAGTTTGCACAAATCGAATTTCTTCATGATATTTGTAATTTTGTACAAAGGAATACACAAAAGCTTGTAATCGATACACGTTTTTGCGTATTGCCTCACCATGAATGGATCTTGCATTTGTTGCCCGTGGAAATACATCTCTTGTTGGGGCTGTCGAGACAGAGATAATTCAATTTTTGGAGGGGGCACCGTAGTTACTAATGTAGCACCTGTGCAATACAATTGCAGAAGGTAGAGTATCAGCTCTAGCCATGTTTTCCTCGTGCGTGACTTTTTTATCCAAAAAGGAGACTATAATGAAAAGAGTAATCACAAAATTTACTACGAGCAAGGAAAGGCTTCTTTAACAAATACATAAAAATACGTATTTTATTAAGTAGTTTAAATAATGATAACTAATGTTGTGGAAATGAAAATATCTCGAAGAAAAATTGGAAATTGTATTTCTGAAACGTACATATAAAAAATGAATTGTATACCGGTCTCAGCCTCAGATTATTCTGCACACCTCCAACTTTCGAGGGCACGCGCCGCCACTGTTTGACGCAACAGCACAACTGTCAATCACCAACTTATTTTAATTAGAGGATAGTGTTGAGAATGAAGGCGTTGCTTACCGTGCCGCCTGCGCGCACGGTGCCTCCGCCGCCGGCCGCCCAGAGCGCGCGCGCGCCGCCGCCACCAGCCTTGCACAGCGACGCCGGCGGCCCGTCCGCCGCGCACGGACCCCACGGCGAAGTCGGGGCAGCCGCACAGGCCGGGGCGGGGCCGGGACGGCGCGGCGGGCGCGGGCGGGGCGTACACCAGCAGCGCGGCTCGGCGGCGGCGCGGGGCGGCGCGCCGCCGCACCGCCAGCGACCCGTACACCCACGCGTCCGCGTACCGCATGCTCTGCGCAGCGTGCTGCCGCTGGCCACGGACACGGACCCCGCCGCGCGAGCGACCCGCCCCGCCCCGCCGCCGCCCACGCGCTCCGCCGCCCCCACGCGCGCGCGACCCAGCCGCAGGCGCTCGCCCCAGCCCTTCTTGGCCTTGGGCGGCGCGCTCGCCGCGTCCGCGCTCCCGAACACCTGCAACACAAACACACACTCACTCACTCATTCGCCGCTCAAGTCGTAGGCTTCCGGGGAAAGAGTCCCGCAAATGATATTTTTATAATTAATTAATTTCATTCATTAATTTCATTCACTTCATTCACTTCATTCGCTTCATTCGCTTCATTCACTTCATTCACTTCATTCGCTTCATTCACTTCATTCACTTCATTCATTTCATTCATTTCATTCATTTCATTCATTTCATTCATTTCATTCATTTCATTCATTTCATGTAATTCATTTATTTCATTTATATTATTTATTTACGTCCAAAACAGTTAAAAACTGTGTGTGACGTGCTATGGAGACAAGTTAAAATGAAGATACATCTAAGTCCAGAAGCAAAACAAGGGACCATCTGAGTATTTGCTCGAGGATCAGAGAAACTGGACGAAAATCTGATCGAGATGGGGTTCATTGAAAGAAGCTGAACTACAACACGTGTTACATCTTGGCTGACCGGGTCGAAGGCTAAGGTGTCGACGTTTCAACCATCTTGCCGTAGGCGTCCTCAGAAGATCAGCACTGAGAAAAACCACGACTGATCGAAACGTCGGCAACATAGACATCGACGCGCGGCCCTCTTCGACGCATCTCCACAAAAACTAGTGATGCTACAACAGCACATACTTTCTTATCACTTAAATTATGATGTACGCTATGATATTAATTTTTTCCCCTTCATGTTTTCAATATCCTTCAAATTATTGTAATTGACTATTATGCATTTTGTCATAAATTTCACTCCAGCTATATCCAGAAGTCATGAAAGTATTACTAGAACACGGCAAGTACGATTATTTTACGACCGAAATCGTTGGGCAAGAAATATGCAAGTTGTAATAGATTTTTTTTACTAAATGTACTTTTCAAGTTTTATCTACACAAATGTATTACGTGGTTAGGCGGAAGAGCGGGCCTAATGGCCCGAGTCTCTCTACATAAATAAAGTCTCTATTATTATTATTATTATTATTATTATTATTATTATTATTACTAAAATCGTTTATTCAAAAAATAAAATTACAATGCTTAATATACCAGAATATCAAGAACTGATTCTTGAAACGACTTTCAAATACTCTAGTATATTTGGAATGAATCACTTTTTCAATTCTCTGTCTTTAGCCTTTGACTTTTATTTCAATTTGTTTTACGTATTCCTGGAAGAACTTTAACTTTTATATACGTATTTCGTAAAGTAAATTGTAATGAACGAACAAACAATCATAGTTTTAACTTTTTAATGTCACAATATTCATTACCTAGATGCATTTTTGTGACTAACGAAGGCAGGTCAGGCAAGGTAGATAGCATAATCAAACGTTGAAGACGTCGTGAAGAATTAATATCTTGAAGCTGTATAATTCTCACACACATATATAACTAGATGGTTTTTACGTTATTCGCGGCTTTAGAATTCATTATCACAGAACTCAGGCTCCTGAAGAAGGCAAATGGGATGTTTCTGAAAGCAGTAGTCACACACCCTCGTGAGTGGAGAGCGTGGTTCGTGATCAGACTCATCGAGATATGAATATGGCATACCACAATGTTAACTGTAATAGGATATTCTTCCCGAATAGAATATTACAGAGAAGCAGAAAAATAATAATATTTCTATACTACGAAGCTTGGTGACAACTAGACAAGATTCCCCCCCCCCAAAAAAAACCGTTACATCACGAAAAAACTCTCATTTTAATAATGTTTTGGGTAATAACCTAATTTTTAAAGAAAAGTTTTGCTAAGGGTTATTTTTCCATTGCTGTTACTATTGATTTACTTTTTTTTGTTTCGGTAATTCCTTTGTCAAACGTGTAATTATATAGATTTATGAGCTCACAGATTACACATACATTGTATTGGTCGTAAATGTTTTATAAATATTGCTATGGAATATTGACATTTATTCAATTACTTTCCTAAATCACAAGACCTTTTCCTGGATGCACGCAATCCATTCTGAATTGCCTCTCTGTAAGAACAAGAGGTTAATTACTATTATCCCTATTATGAAATCCGTCCTGCCAAAAGGATGGTGGGAGGTAGTACCTTGATCATAAGAGGTTTTTATGAAAGGATGGAGTATAGTTTCTGTGTAGTCCTCGGAGAAATCCTAAACAATAAACTTTCTTAAGAGATGTAGTAGGGACTCCTTGGCAATATAAAGTAGCGAGACAATAAGACAAAGAGCGTAATAATAATAATAATTATAATAATAATAATAATAATAATAATAATAATAATAATAATAACAACAACAACAACTTAAGAAACACGGAATTGCTCGAGTATTCATCACAAATTCACAATCATCCAAGATGCCTATTGTACTGACGTCCGGGATTTGATTACGTTGCTGATCAGTGATCACTAGCACAAATAAACATGAAACATGAAAGCTGAAAAAACATGCAATACAATCAAATTTACAATTTTTATTAGTATACAAATTTCATTCTTTAGCTATAAGTGACCCTCAGGGCCCGTATTGCCAATTTATCGCAATCATTTATTAGACAAGAAAAGGAATTCCATTCCATCCATTCCAAGGAATTCCATTCGTCTTCCATCTAGTTCCGTCTACTATCTATTCTCGTCTAAACCATCTCTACCCCACGGCAGTTCATTCGTCCTTCACCACCACAGTTTAGAACTCTACTGACTTCTTCTTCTTCTCCATTTCAGGGATTAGGCAGAAGTGCCTGTTCCATCTTCGCTCTGCACATCAGGACCATCTCTTTCTGGGTCGGCCGATATCTATTCTTCCCTTCGGTTGGTAGTTCATCACTAATTGTGGAATACGATCTTCCTCCATTCTTTCGATATGGCGCCGCCATTCTTTCCTGTTTTCTACGATCCTTTCATTTATGCTGTATATATCTAGTTCTTTACGGATGTCCTCATTTCTTATCTGGTCTTGTTTGATGCAGCCTTTAACTTTCCTAAGAAATCTCATTTCCCACCTAGGGAGTACAGGACCTTGACGTGGTGGTGGAGCTTGTGTGCCCCCGTGAACCTGAGAGCTATGCCGGCGGTAGCGTAGCTACTGGTAGGGCCTCCCTGGCCGGACAGGTCGAAGGGGAGGGGTCAGACGAAGAAGTACTCCAGAAGAGGACACCGGCGTTAGAATAGGCCCCAAAGAAGAGGTCCTGAACGAAGAAGAGGAAGTTCCGACGTAGATCTTCGGCTTCGACATGGCGAGACTGTCCTCGAAAGGGTAGGCGGAACTCTTAGCCCAGCAAAGGCAATCCGCCTATGGTCGGTGGCCCAAAATACCACCCAGCTTGTTTGGAAGCTGTGAGGTGGCAGCCCCATTACCAAACTTAACCTGCGCAGCGCTCGTAACGCGGCCAAGGGGATTCAATAACTACTGGCTCTCTTCACAACTCTACTGACTATAATACAATTCTGTAACATAAAATATAATCGAACGTTTAATCTAAACGAGTGCGTCATAAATAATTACGTTAAGACATAACGTAGCTGCAATGAATACAAGAAGTTTTTAGACCTATCTCTCAATGGGTTAGTGAATTTTATTTGCATACAAATTAAGAAGCAAAGAACCTTAAATAATATAATTTTATGATCTGGAACTCATATGTCCGATTATGTGTTATTCTGTAATATATTTTAAATTTTAAATTTTTCTGTATGTTTAATATTTTTTGGTCTCTACTATAACAATGTTTAATAAAATATTGTTTTGCCAAAAGAAATGCGAATAAATAAAGCCGTACTCAAGTTGATTTACATTGGCAATATCCTGTTCATGCTCTTTTTTCCTTCTGTTTCTTTTGCTAACAATCCAGAGTTTAGACGAAATTTGCAAAAAATGTTGGATTTCGTAATTCAGACAAACCAGTTCCGCAGAACACGAGAGTTTAGAGGGTTGCTGATTTACAGGCGCTGAGAGCTGTAACGGGATCCGATATGTTGTCGCTCGCTCACTCTAGTGAGGGAAAGGCGAACTCAACGAACGACAAGCCTGCTTTCTAGCGGCAAATTACAGAAGCTCACATGGCATTGTAAGTAACTTGTTGCTTGAACTATGACATTATGAATTTTACAGTTCTTTCTCCCACAAAGCTGTTGGCGCTTTTTGTGAAATAGTTTGAGTAAAATACAAAAGATATACACATTTAGAAACTATGAATGTGTAACAGTTTTATATTGAATTAGTACGAAAAAATATTTTTTGTTGCATTTTTGAATATTTACGTAAATTGGCGACCATTTCAGGCGTAGCAAAATCTTTAATCCTCTGCTGCTTCTTGATTTCTTGTCTCTTAAATTTCATATTTAATTACTAGAAAGAATCTACCTCACCAGCGATCTAATTAATTCATGCATCTTAGACCAATGTTTCGTTATAACAAAATAAGATACAAACAACTTCACTCATTCTCACCCTAATGTATAAAAATTATGATTATGTTCTCAATATACAATCAAGAACTGAATAATATAAAATATAATCTAATAACGTCAATATAATTGTCACTAACGTTTATTAATGTAACATTGTATTTTAATATACGTTTATTCATGAAGAAGAAAGGTCACCAGGCGAATGCTGGAGCAGTAACAAACGGGTCACGAACCGCGCGCGATCTTTCCTACCTCTTCCTTGTCCTATCCTCTCCCATTACACACACACACACACACACAAACTCACATGCCGGGAGACCCGTCAGGCGCTAAAGAGATTGTTCCGTCTGTGGCGGTACCCGTTGGTGGGAGATACCTGGTTGGGGAGAACCCCGCTAGCCGACGGTAGGTCGGCGCCTTATCTCGCCATACAACCAGGGAAAAGATCACCGCCACCTCACGAGCAAAAACATGCATTACACTTACGGGAACAATAACCATGTTAGTTGGCGTGTCCGAAATCATTAAACAATCAAGCAATCAATCAAACGATCAAACAATCGATCAAACAATCGACCAAACAATAAATTAAACAATCAATCAAATAATCAAACAATCAATCAAACAATCAAACAATCAATCAAGCAATCAATCAAGCAATCAATCAAACAATCAATCAAACAATCGCATCCTTGTTTTGTGTGTTGAACTGTCTCAATAAAGGTTCGACACCGTTCCTCGACCGGTGGGGGCGCGCCAGTCCGGAGCAGCCTGGAGAGCGACGATCGCTTCGTAA